AATTGGAGAATGATGTCTCTGCTTCTTGCAATCTTGACCTTCTACAATAGCAAAGTTTATGAGACTGGCCCAATAATTATGAATTACTATGAATTGGGCCTTCACTTGAAGAAAGAAGAAATCCAGAAGCAGTCACTTGTAAACCTTCTTTCAAATGAGGAAGAAGTCATACGTTCTTGTGACTGTAAATGGTAACCACATGTTGCCATGCATGACATGACCTGTTCAGTTATCAGTTGCTTAAATGTGGGTGAAGTGCCCTGGATCTTTCTTGGGATGGCTAATCTTCTTTCAACACTGTTTCAACTTCTCACTTACCCCTTGCATGAGAATTGACAAATCAGAAGTTAGAGTGAATGAGAAGTAGCTACTTTGTGACAACAGAACATATAAATGAATGCCTTTAAATTTCTGCTTCTGTTTCTACAACCTAACTGAGAAATTTGTGCATTATTGATTGCCTTAAAGAAGCCCATGCATTCATGAGAATAGATTTATGGAAAGAAACCCAACTGTCAGTCTTACATTAGTTATTTAATTAAATAATTGATCTGGAATTATGAGCTGTAACAACTTTGTGATTCATTGGGTAGGGTTTGATTTTTGCTGACACCTTTCATGCCACTTTTTGTTGTTGCCTGAGTGAGATTTCTGTTTTGCTGGTGCTGAACAACAAATAAGTTTTATAAGCCTTTCTTTTTTAAAAAAATGCTCAAGGTTAATATAGACAAATGATGACAAAAACAAGTGTGTGTTTGTTTTTGATCAACTGGATACTAAGGGAGAGCACAGTTGGTTAGTCATATGTTGTTTGCATGTCTCTTTTGTAGTAGATGAATGAACAGTGAGTTTGGCAGGTATTAAATACTCTGCAGTGTTGTAAAGTCAACAAATCCACTTCATTCCTTTCTTTCTATCTATCTATCTATCTATCTATCTATCTATCTATCTATCTATCATCTATCAGATTTGTATAAAAGATCCCTCTTAGCATTATGCTGTCTGGGTGGCCAAGATTGTGAAGTCCAAAAAAAGCACAACTGCATTTTTACACAACTGTGTAAATGCTATGCAGGTTTATTTGGAACATTTCTTAAAAGACATGAGTAGAATTGCCCTGACTACCACTGACATGTTATTTGCATTTGTTTCCAGAGCTCAGATAGATGTTGATCTTTGGAACCTTGCTAGCTATGACTTTGATGCTGTTCCAGAACAAAGCAAAATATGATCTTCATTGCAGCTAGAGATTTTTGCTGAATCTAGGCATGCGTTTGCATGGGTGTAGGATCTCTGGTTAGCAGAATTCATACAAAGGGATTTTTCCTGGCTCTTTGATAATCCTCAACAGAGGTAGCAAAAAGGTAGTGCTTATAGCTACTAAAATGTCTGTGTGAGTTATGCTTTGATTCAGGGCATTTCAGGCATCGTGCTTGGAATGGGGTAGAAATGGTGTAGTTTATTCTTTACCTCGGTTTTGAGAGTTAGACACTGTATCGACAATGACCAGATTGCTAATGGCAAGCAAGTTGTATCCGGCAAAAAGCCTGCACCTAACAAGCTTAATTTCTTGGCAATTCACTGCCACAGGAGTGTTTTGGTTAAGTCTAGTATTGCTGTTCCCACAACATGAAAGCAAGAGATCATGTTTTATAGCACTCCCCTCAATCCTCTTCAACATGCAAATTGCAGGAATATTTCTACTAACATGTTTTGTTTCTACAAATTCTACAAACAAACAAACATTTCTATTTTTAATTGGACTTTTATTATGGATGTTATTCTGTGCTTTTGTTGTTGGAGCATTCTGAAACTTTTATGTATAGGAAGAGAGAAACAAGTTTTAGACAGACAGACAGACAGACAGACAGACAAAAAAATTCCTAGAAGTGTTATTAGATTGTGACTCTGCTTTAACATCCATAAGGGATCTAGGGGTAGTAATGGACAACTTGTTGAAAATGTCAACCCAGTGCACAGCTGTGGTGAAGGAGGCAAACTCTATGCTGGGCATAATTAGAAATGGAACAGAAAATAGAACTGCCAAAATCTAACTTCCTTTATACTATTCTGTGGTGCAACTGCATTTGAAATAATGTGTTCAGTTCTGATTGCCTTACATGAAAAAGGATATTACTGAATTGGAAAAAGTACAGAGAAGAGCAACAAAAATGATCAGAGGGCTGGAGTAGCTCCCCTATGCTGAGTGACTACACCAAATTGGATTGTTCAAGTTAGAAAAAAGGCGAGTAAGGGGAGATGTGATAGAGGTGTTTAAAATAATGCTTAGTGTGGAGAAAATAAAGAGGGAGAAATTTTTCCCCTTCTCCATTATACTCAAACTTGAGGTCATCCCAGGACGCTGATCGATGGAAGGTCTAGGTCAAATAGAAGGAAGTACTTCTTCACACATGGTATATTTAAACTATGGAATTTGCTGACATGGGAAGTGGTGATGGTTGCCAATCTGAATGGCTTTAAAAAAGGATTGGATGGATTCATGAGGGAGGAGGCTATCAGTGGCTACTAGCCTTGCTGGCAATTGTTTCCTCCTTTAGCAGAGGTGGCATGCCTGCATACACCGGCTGCTGAGATCTTGCACCCATCTTGCTTGAAGGATCTTGTGGGTTGCTGGTTCGTTACCATATATACAGAATACTGGACTAGATGGATCTTTGATCTAATTCAGCATGATGTTCCTTATGTTCTTAACGTTTACTCATGGATGGAGTTATTTAAATGGACCAGTTATCATTGGTCCTTTGTCACCATATCAGCGATGTGGTAGTTCTGGGCAGTGTAATTGATGCTCATGATTTTTCTTTTTAATGAAATAAACCAACAAAGAGTATTTGTACTTTGTCTCAGTGGGAGAAAACTAGCATGTTTGTTCAAGGATAAAGTGGGAAGCATGTGGCTTCCTGTGAGTACAGTTTGAATAATATCTCTGCAGACTGTTGTTGGATGGACTATATAAATATTTATCATGCAGTATGGACCTTTGATCACTAATACATGTTTAGAAAACAGTTCTGTCTTCTGGGATTCATAGGGGAAGCAGATACTGTTGCCTGTATTCTTAAAAGCTTTTCTTAGTGATTAAGAGACAGTTCCACTAACTCCCATTTCAAATAATTGTGGTTCACTGAATTATGCTGTGAAAAATCAAACTGAACTTGCACTTTGGGTATGCATATCAATACTCTATCACTTGCACCAAAAGTTAATTATGTCAGGGTCATCTTCTCTAACCTGTTCTATGTCTCTAAATAGAATTGTGATTGTGAAGTTTGTCAAGTTTGGAAAGATTCTGATGGAATCTTGGAAACCTGGAAACAATGAAAAGTTCCACTATTGAGAGACATCTTAGGTGAATAATTGTTGGCATCCATAAACTGGATGATACTCATCACCTGCAAGTCAGACTGTGCGATAAAGGCAGTCTTTATCTCACAAAAATAGTTGCAGTACAGCACCATTGTTGGAACACTGTGCAAATATACAGAAAATATGTGTATTGAATACACAGATATACAGATTCAGAATTCTGCGCTGAGTTGTTGGCTATTTTTTCTGCCATTAGTCATTGATAAATCAGGATTAATGCAAACCAGTATTCGCAAGCCAACTTTAAATGATGGCTTCAGCACATAATTGGCCACAAAGAAGCCATAGTTCATTTGAAGCCAATTAAAATATATAAAGAAATCAGACTTAAACTAAAGAATCCATGATTTAGCATTACATCTGAATATGGCCATTACCACTATTCCTGAATCACTTCTGCAATAACTGTAACATAGGAAAGAGTTACCCACATTATCCTGTGAGTCAAGAATATAAATATCCCTACCTAAAACATGAATGTACTGAAACACTCCTAAATTCTCAGCATACCAATGCCTGAGTCAGGGGTAGCTCTTAGGAACATAAATCCTTCCCATACTGTTATTCATCACCAGTGACCAGTATAAACACCGCTCTGCATGGAAATTGTAATGTGAGAAGTGACCCTCAGGCAGATCTGGTTTATGATTCAGTGTAAATTAAGGTATTCAGTTTGTAGATAGAACTTAGAATTTTCACTTCTGCAGGGCACAACCTTGACTTGACTATGAGCACCATGTGTACTTGAAATTTAAATTTAAGTCAATTGCATGCATTGATTACTTACCCTTAACTCTCATCCTTAGAAGTAATTAATATAAAGGAGTTCTAAAAAAGAGAGTAGCAGTCACTCTGTAATACTGACAAATACAACAAAGCTAATACTTTTGCTGTTACTGTAAGTTTTGACTACAGTATGTAAAATACCACATGTTTAAGTGTGATGCTCTATGTTTCAAGAATTTATTGTAACTGAATTGGTAGATATTTATAACTTGACAAGTTACCCAAGTATCTGGCACAGAAGAGCTCATGAATGGTTTTATCCTTCAGTAGAACAGACTCTTTGACATAGGTTATTGTTTACATATTTATCTCTAATGGCAATGTGCCAGTTCTATAAAAAGGAATTTAAAAGTCCCTGTAGCTGATAGATTGGCTAGACAGATGAACTTTGAATTAGCTCCCACCTCTACCATAAACTGAGGGCTGCTTTGTATCCATGCAGTGTGAATGCTTATACAAATACATAAATGTCTCACACAGGAACACTGCAGGGAGAAAGGATTACCCTGTATAATATGTAGAACAGTGTACATTTGTGCAATTCTGGCATGTTTGTCTTTCTTACATTCTCTGTCTGAATTGCAGTAAAGTTTATAAAGCACTTCATAAGGTAAGCATTTTGTAAAATCAGTTATAAATTGATGCTAGTGCTGCTGCTGATGTTTCATTACATTTTGGCTTAGCATAAGGCATGACTGTCATCACTCTCAAAACTATTCATTCTGTTGGTAACCATCTATTGTATAACGGAACATGACTTTAAGTAATGAAGCTTTATCTAAAGTAAAGCATATTTTAAAAATGATTTTTTTTCTTGTCATCTAAAGGTTTGCTCAAAATGCAAGGCGAGAAGCTGGAACCAGTAAATTACTATGTGGGAATTGATGTTGGCACAGCAAGCGTTCGTGCGGCTTTGGTAGACCAATTTGGGACGGTAGTGGCTTACGCAGACCAGCCAATTCAAATTTGGGCACCACAACCAGGCTACTATGAGCAATCCTCTGATGACATCTGGGCTGCTTGTTGTATAGTTACAAAGGTACAGAACAGACATTCACTGTGAATCGTATGCTTCTAGCTGTGCATCAACATGTCTAATGAGGATAGATAATCCTCTGCTGCCTTTGTCACATTGAATCATTTTATCTCACGCAGCCATACAAGATGTACAAACTTCTAGGAAGCCTGAGATAACATGACATTTGCCAGCCAATCTCTTGTCTCCTTTCAATTTTCCAAAAAAAAAAAAAAAAAAAAAAAAAAGTGGGTTTCTTTATTCTAGACATGTCCATATAATGGATATGCTGCTAGGTTCAAAGATCAGCAGAAGCTTCTGCCATATGTGGCTTACTCCTATCACAGTTCTACCTCTCTGTCTGCCAGTTCCATATTCTCTGCTGCTAGCCGAGTTTTTTTCTTGGTGTTCTTTCTTATATGTATAGCAGGGTTCCATTCAAAAACTTCAGCGCAACTTCTTTTGGCTTGTCTCTCTCTTTTACTTTGGGGGCGTGGGAGGGATAGTTGGGTACACTGATAAATGGCTTTTGTAAGAGAGCTGTTGGAAGCTTTTAAATCAGAAAGATAAGGCCATATAGCTCTCTGAGTAGAAGAAAATTGCAACAATGTGGTACAAATCTTTTTTTCTGATGGTAGAAGAGAAAAAGAATATATCAACTCTTGGGGAGATGTTTGTCTTAACCTCAAAATGGAATAAGCACCATAAGCTTATGGTGGGTTTCTTTTTGCTACTTTTTGTTTTTTTATAAGTGAAGTTTTGGAAGGAAAAATATTGTATCTGGCACAAATTATGCAGAGAAAAGCATTTGTGTACAAAATTGGGGAAAACTGAACAGTATGTTGCACCAAGGCAGGTGATGACACGTGTTATAATAAGTGCGTTTATGTGTGTGCCTGAGTTTAAAAATGTATTCTGTCCCAGGTATGTACATTTCAGCATTTCAATTAATTTCATTAATTGTGTGTGGGAAGTCACAATAGGGGAGACTTGTGGTATATCCCTTTTCTTATGATTCTCTCTCTCTCTCTCTCTCTCTCTCTCTCTCTCTCTCTCTCTCTCTCTTTCTCTCTCTCTCTCTCTCTCTCTCTTTCTCTCTCTCAACCATAAGGAATAAAACTGCTATTCCTGCCAGGAAAGCTGATCTAAAACATAGTGTTGTAAATATAAAATAAAGGACCTGTCTCTTCTGTTTCACTGGTTAATCAAGACTCAATCTTGGCACCTCCATGTCGGTACTATGACCTCAATTGGCAGTGAACATCAGGGCTGGATGGGTAGTCCTCTTCAAAAGGTTTTAAAGTCAGACTACTCAGTGTAACAAGGCTGGTTCTTTAAATATGCATGAAATACTTGATAATTTGTAGGTGGACTGTTCACTGTCCTTATTGGTCAGCATTTTCAAACATTCATGAGTCATGCACTGCAGCAAGTTTCCTGAATGAAAGAGAAGAGAATGGGGATGGGTCCAGAGCAGGTGCTAAGTGAATATTGAACCAGAATACTCATCTTTGCCACACACTTACTCCCCATTCCCCTTTTTTTCTATCTAATGTTATGATGTTATGCAAGTGAAGATGGAAAAAAAGTCTTGCGGTGCCCAGCATCTCCTAGACCACTATGTCAGCTGGGGAATGTTGCGTGTTGTAAGGCCTTTTTTTGGTCTAAACATGCATAGGATTGCACTCTAGATTTTACTCTTTATTTTATTTTTATTTTTTTTTGCAGTGTAGGCACACAACCACCAGCACACTTGGGAAGGAAAAATAAGCTGCTGTGGCTTATTTTACTTCCATTGTTGTGCAAATCCACCCAGTAAGTAGATTTACATATATTAACATTTAGGGCTGGCTTAATATGATAAAGGTAATCTCTAAGTCACTTCATTCACCTTGCAATGGGTTGCTTTAATTTGTCAAAAACATTTTCAGTGTAAAAAGGTCTTGTTAAATCCCAGAGATACTTTCTTTAAAAACAGACCTGAAGGTTTACAGGGTGTTGCATATGGTATTTTATTGGTGGGAGAGAGGTTGGGTGGGAAGGATAGAGACATTGCAAATGAACGGTTCAGTCCCAAGTAAGCCTAACTGAGTTCAGTGATACTTATACCCATAAACCATGCAAAGAATCAATTAAACCAGCTTTGGAGGAGCTATTTCAGAACAGTTCTCTTCAAATGACTGTGTCAGTCTCACCACTTTTTCATTGAATCACTATTTCTCACCAGCTCTACTTAATTCCTCACATGCTTACCAGGATTGCTACCTGAATCTACTGTGTACATACTAGAGGCTTCCAGGAGTAACTATGTCTCATGTGGGCTATCTCATTTATTTACTGAAGCATGAGAGAGGAACCACAAGAGCCGCCCCCCTCCAGGAGCCGTCCTTGAAAGAGATCAAGAGGGTGACTATCTGGAGAGGGCCTTCTCTGTGGTGGAACCTTGATTGTGGAACATGCTTCTCAGAGAGGTCTGCCTGGCGCCAACGCTTCTTTCAGCGTCAGGCGAAAACCCTTTTATTCTCCCAGTATTATAATTGTTAACTTGTTTTAGTTAGTGGGTTTATATTTTAACACTGGATGCTGGGCAACTGTTATTTTTATTTCTATTAATTTGTTGTAAAAATATCAGCAACTCACAAAATGTGTTTGTGGCAAGAGGGATCCACATTGATGCATAATTTATTTTTTTTTTAATTTATTAAAACATTTTTATGCCGCCCCATTCGCCGAAGCCTCGGGGCGGCTTACAACAAAAAATTAAAATAACATTTTAAAATATATACAATAAAATACAAATATATAATATAAAACATACACTATAAAACAAGCCGCCCTGGCCAAATAAAATTCAATAATATTAACATTTAAAATACTGCTTAAATAAAAAGGTCTTCGCCTGGCGCAGAAAAACAAATAACGACGGTGCCAGGCGGACCTCTCTGGGGAGCGCATTCCATAACTTAGGTGCCACCGCTGAGAAAGCCCTCCTCCGAGTAACCACCCTCCTAACTTCTTCCATGGAGGGCTCCCGGAGAAGGGCCTCTCCCGCCGATCTCAGGGGGCGGCTGGGCATATAAGGATGTAAGCGCTCCTTCAGGTAACCAGGACCCAAGCCGTTTAGGGCTTTATAGGTCATTACCAACACCTTGAATTGGGCCCAGACTTCAATGGGAAGCCAGTGAAGCTGACGGAGAACTGGAGTCATGTGAACATAACGTCCAGTCCCCGTCAGCAGCCTGGCAGCTCTATTTTGGACCAATTGAAGTATCCGGACCGTCTTCAAGGGTAGCCCCACGTAGAGCGCGTTACAGAAGTCCAGACGGGAAGTCACCAACGCATGTGTCACTGTCGCAAGGCAGTCATTCTCCAGATAGGGGCGCAGCTGATGAATTAGCCGAAGCTGGAGGAAAGCGCTCCTCGCCACTGCTGTTACCTGAGCTTCCAGTGAAAGCTCCGGGTCGAGGAGCACTCCCAAGCTGCGGACCTTGTCCCTAGGAGGGAGTGCAACCCCGTTCAGGACAAGGTTCAGGTCACCTTCTCCGAAGCCCGAACCGCCAACCAACAGGACCTCCGTCTTGTCTGGATTGAGCTTCAGTTTATTGGCCCTCATCCAGCCCATTACCTCGGCCAGGCACCGGTTCAGCACAGCCACTGCCTCACCTGGATTGGTGGAAAACGAGAGGTAGAGCTGGGTATCGTCAGCGTACTGATGGTTCCGCAGCCCACACCTCCTGATGACCTCTCCCAGCGGTTTCATGTATATGTTGAACAGCAAAGGGGACAAAATGGACCCCTGCGGTACTCCATGGCATAGCTGCCATGGCGCAGAGCCATAGTCCCCCAGCACCACCTTCTGGAACCGGCCATTGAGATAGGAGCGGAACCACGGATAATGAAGTCATCACCCAGATTGCGTACTACTCATTTTATTTCCATCCCAGTGCTCCACATCTTTTTTAGCTAATCTATTAAATTGAGATGAATTAGGTGTGTTGCTGCACATTAGCTTTATTTATCTTGGTTAATTAATCTGAAAGGTTGGTTTGGTGAACGTGTTCAGCATCACTGGGAGGGAGGTGGAATACAGTAAGTTCAGTTCCTCTTCCCTCTCGCTCTTTCTGATGGCAGAGACGGGACATGTGTGTCTGGAAGAGTTTCATGCAGGTGGTAGTTCAGGAATCAGGTGCCTGAGAACATCTTAGATTTATTGAAGTGTTTTGAAAAATAACATTTTGTCTATGTGCAGTTTTGACTCTGTATCTTATTTGTGTTTCATAGAAAGTTATCCAAGGAATTGATATTTCTCAAATTCGAGGACTTGGCTTTGATGCTACCTGTTCCCTTGTTGTTCTCAATAGCCATTTCCAGCCCTTGGCAGTTAACTTGGAAGGTGAGATCTTTAAATAGGACATGCAAGACTTCCAGTGTTAAATGAAACAACAGTAGAAAACATCGGGGCTATGGAACAATAATGCAGGAGACAGAGCTGAAACTGGAATAGTGAAGATTAGTGCCACAAAGGCCTGGAGTGTTCGTACACAGTTCTCCAGAACATAGATTAGTTTGAAATAATTTAGTTGAAGACCACAATCTGTTTCTTCCTTCATTGAGCAAGAATTCCTACCAAATTTTGCATAAAGTAAATTCTATGTAATCCCACTTTGATCTGCCATTATTCGCTAGACATCTGGGCAATGAATGTTGCTTCCTCTAGAAAGACTATGCTCAGTTCTTCGTCATGGCTTCTGTGCATCACACGTATGGGTGCTGCGCCTGCGCAGTGCCTTTAGCCGGAAGATTGCCAGCTAACGGTTTTTGGCGGGAAGCTCCACTCCCCCCCCCCCCCGTGGCCTATAAAGAGCGGAGCGTCTGCCATTTTGTTCAGTCTTTGCGACTGCCGTTTGCTGTGTCTTGTGCTGCTTTCGGCTTCGCTCTGACCGTTAGCCTTTCTTTAACGTCTCTCCTTTTTTGATATATCTATAAAAAAAAACACAAAAATATGTACTTACCCTCTGCACTCTCTCTCTCTTCTTCTTTTCTACGATGGCGCAGCAAGCGGCTTTCCACAAATGCGCGGAGTGCGGGTCAAAAATGTCACCAACTGACCCGCATGACCTATGCCTCCTCTGTTTGGGTGAGGGGCATAGGACCAATAAATGCGCTCATTGCCTGGCCTTCTCCAAGCAGGCCAGGAAGAATCGCGAAAACCGCCTCCAGAGACTGCTTTGGGATTGGGCCCTTATGCAGTCTGATCTGCTGATCTCTGCCCCAAAGCCTGGCTCCGCTTCTGTGGCCCCACCTTCTTGCCCTTCGGACGGAGGTGCGTCTGCTTCGGTGGCTCCCTCTTCTTCTCCCAAGAAGAAGCATGAGAAGTGAAAGCATGCCGAACCCGAGAAGTCGGCAGGCCATAAGAAGGCCAGAAAGGAGAAAGTCTCCAAGCCTCCCAAGGAACCGAGGGACTTGGACCGTCCCCATCACCGGGATTCGGATTCGACGGCCCCCTTGGTACTGGCGGCGCTTATGGTACTGACTCCGCCCGACCCGGTTCTTCAGGAGGTTATGTGGGTCACCCCTCAAGGGTCCCCGCGCCGCACGGCTGACCTCCCATCTGCGCCCCTTCCAACTCTGCAAAGGGGCTCGATATCTGATGGGGAAATTCAGGACTCTCCCCCTAGGGCTCGGTTGCCTACATCCATGCCCGCGGCTACTATGGAGGAAGATGTTGGAATGTCTCCACCGGGGAGCCGGAGGAGCCGCTCCGTCGAGCAACGTTCAGAGGGATGGCGTCACCCCTACTACCATACTTGGGGTGACCCACTTTCTATGGGATACTACCCTGCTCCTAGGGGGCGGTCCTCTCCGCCATCCCGTGACCGGCCATGTCCATCGGACCCGAGACGGGCATCCCCACGATTCCCCCGGGATGAAAGCAGCCGCTCTTTTTCCCTGGCAGAGTCTTCGTCATTGGCCCCACCTTACTACAGTGCCAATTCCAACGATTTGGAGGTCGACTCAACCTCCCCAGATGTCGCCATCACATCCCAGGGTCCTGCGTCACCGGACGAATCCCACATCTCCTTCGTGGAGCTGATGTCCAGACTTGTCCAGACCCTCGATATCGACGCCGTCCAGCATCCGGGACTGACAATGGACAAGTTCTACGACATCGTCCGCGGGGAACAGTCAACATCGATCATCCTGCCGCTCATAACCACCCTTCGGCAAGCGATGACGCAGCCCTGGGACTTGCCCTCTCACCCTCAACCCACGTCCAGGAGGTATGAATCGATGTACCGGGTCTGGGAGGAGGACATTCCCCTCCTCCTCCGCCAACCCAAGCCGAACTCAATGGTCGTGGAATCCTCCCAGGGCAGAGAGGCAAGAGGGCATACGGCACCATGGGACAAGGAGGGCCGAAAGATCGATTCCCTGGCCAGGCGAGTCTACGCTGCTTCAGGCCTGGGGCTGCGGATCTCTAATTATGAGGCGATGTTGGAGAGGTACCAGTACTTCATTATGCAGCGCCTCCACGTCGCCTCGACCCTCCCGGACCACCAAGGAGACCTGGCTAAGGTCCTAATCAAGGAGGCTATGCAGGTCGCGGTGCAGCAGTTGTCCACGGCCAGGCACCACGTGGACACAGACTCATGGGCCTTGGTCGGTGCTGTTTCGCTCCGGAGACACGCCTGGCTCAGAAACTGCAGTTTTCCGGAGGAAACGAAAGCGCCGAATAGAGGAAATGCCCTTCGACGGGTCCGGGCTTTTCCACTCTTGCACCGACCACAAGCTAAAGAAGCTGCATGAATCCCAGATGACAGCACACAGGATGGAGATACAGACCCAAACTAGACATAAGTGGTCATGGAATCGTCCATCCTACAGGCAGTCTTATCAGCCAAGACAACAACCCCAGCATCGTCAGCAACAACAACAGCACCGCCGTCCGCAGCCCCAACAATGCTACCAACAAGGCTGCCGCCGTTTTGATGATCGGAGGCAGCGTTGACGGGACTGGCGAACCATTCCTCCAACTCCTACTATACCCACCCTCCTCTCATCTGGGGATCGGCTCCGAAGCCGACTCCCCATTTGGGAGTTCATCACATCTGATTGGTGGGTATTGTCCATCATTCAGCACAGCTATCGGATAGAATTTGACATCATTCCTCCATTGAGTCCAATACGGTTTACATCATGTTCACCAGTATTGCTCGACGAAATGCATCAACTTCTTCGTAAAGGAGCAATTCGTCAAGTATTCCCATCTGATGGACTCCATGGATTCTATTCCAGATACTTTACGGTCTCGAAGCGGGATGGTGGTCTACGTCCAATTTTGGATTTACGTAACCTGAATTGATTTATTGCACCGAAAAAGTTTCGGATGACCACCCTACAAAACATCTTGCCATTGCTAAGGAAAGAGGATTGGGTTCGCCTCATTAGACTTGAAGGACGCCTATTTCCACATTTCGATCCCCCGAGTTATAGGTGTTTCCTTCGTTTTGTGGTTGCACCTCATCTCTATGAATTTACAGTTTTGCCCTTTGGACTGGCTACAGCTCCAAGGGTATTTACCAAATGTATGGCCCCTGTCTGTGCCTTCCTGTGCCTCCAAGGCATACAGATTTACCTGTACCTCGATGACTGGCTGTTAGTGTCGCAGTCCAGGGAGGGACTCCTTGCGTCTATTCAACAACCTGTGTCTTATTGAATGACCTGGACCTATGTATTAATACCGAGAAATCTTCTCTTCTTCCGACACAGACGCTCACCTTCATTGGAGCCCGCTTGGATTCGACGTTGGAAAAAGCCTTCCTTCCTTGGGACAGACAACACACTCTTGCTCGCCACATCCATCGAATGCAACGAGACGCGGTTCCTCGGTTTCCACGGTTGCTGTAGTTCCGCACGCCAGGCTTCGACTCCGTCCACTACAACTTTTTCCAACAAGGTGTACCACCCTCAGAGAGACCCACCGTTGAAGTTGATTCGAATCCCATCTTCTGTGCTCCATTCTCTACTTTGGTGGTCGATACCAGCCAATCTGACTGTTGGAGTCCCCTTCAGGGCACGATGTCCTTCAATAACCCTCAGTACCGATGATCTCTTCTGGGATGGGGAGCGATATGCTCCGGACTATATACCCAAGGCACGTGGAATCGTCAAATCATATCAACTTCCTGGAGTTACTGGCGGTGTTCAAAGCCCTGCGTTTTTTCGAGGACATTCTTCAACATCGGGTCATTCAGATAACTTCAGACAATGTAGCTATCGTCTTCTATCTGAACAAGCAGGGGGGAACGAAGTCACCGACCCTGGCCAGACTTTCCATGAAAATCTGGGACTGGTGCATTCCGAGAGGCATCACGCTGATGGCTGTCCATCTCGCTGGTGCAGACAATGTGCAGGCAGATCTTCTCAGCAGGCACATGTTCACCTCTTACAAATGGGAGCTAGATCCTTGCACACGCAACCATCTTTTCCAGCGCTGGGGGTTTCCCGACGTGGGCTTATTCGCCACTTGACAGAACAGGGTGTGCAATGCTTACTGCTCGAGAGTGGGAATCGGACATGCATCCTTAGGGGACGCTTTCATGATCCCATGGAACAACATGACCTTCTATGCCTTCCCCCCGATCCCTCTTGTAATGCGGGTCATAGCGAAAATAGTGCACGACCGGGCATCGGGGATACTAGTTGCCCCTTGGTGGCCACGTCAAGCTTGGTTTGAGACACTACTCGACATCTTTCAGGGGGAATATCTTCATCTACCGTCGCTTCCATATCTCATAACCCAAAAGGATGGTATGCTTCGCCACCCGGACTTGCTCTCATTGAATCTAACAGTGTGGCGCATCCGATGACTACCATCATTCCCTCGGTACCGATGACAACTTCAACCGGTTCGAATCCAGTCGTCGAATCCAACCATTCGGGCGCTTCCTCTTCTCCTTCATTCTTTGTTCATTCCGTACCATCTGATTCAAGACACGACCCGTCGAATTCTACAGCTTTGCACCCTGACATTCAGCATATCATCGATTCTGCCTTAAAGCCATCCACAAGGAAATCATATATGGCTAAATGGAAACGTTTTTCCACCTTTGCCGAGTCTCGCTCGTTCTCCCCATTCAGGTCATCCATATATCAAATCCTTCAGTTCCTATTGGAACTGCACCATTCTGGACTAAAACCGTTGTCTATTAAAGTATATATGGCAGCAATAGCCTACCACCGTGGCTTAGTTGACGGATCACCTCTCTTTTCTCAACCTATTTTCAAGAGATTTCTAAAGGGACTATATAATCTTAACCCATCAATCAAACCAGTGATGCCTACCTGGAGTCTTTCTGTCGTTCTACAAGCCCTTACAAAAGCCCCCTTTGAACCATTGGCGACAGTGGATCTGCGCCTCGTTTCATGGAAAACAGCATTTCTCATGGCTGTCACTTCAGCCCGAAGGGCCAGTGAACTTTGCGCTCTCTGCATAGACCCTCCTTATTTGAACTTTCACAGGGAGAAGATCGTTTTACGCTTCGATCCATCTTTTCTGCCTAAAGTGACTATGCCTTTTCATATGGGACAAGACATTGTTTTACCTGCCTTTTTTCCATCACCATCGACTCCACTAGAGAGATCTTTGCATTCACTTGATGTTCGGCGTTGCTTAGTCTTTTACAGATCGAGGACTGAATCTATTCGACGTTCAAATAAACTGTTCATTAAATATTCCACTAGAGATCGGGGCTATCCAATCACGCCACAGAGACTTTCCAAATGGATAGTCCACACTATAGTCCTATCTTATCAACTAGCTAAGCTCGATCTGCCTTCAGTCCCTTGAGGCCATTCCACTAGGGCCGTTGTGACCTCATCTGCCTTTGCATCCGGGGTCTCGCTTGATGATGTATGCCAAGCTGCAACTTGGGCGAACCCTTGCACCTTCGCCAGACGCTACCATCTTGATGTTCGGGCTCGATGGGATTGCTCCTTTGGCAGAGCTGTTCTTTTGTCTGTTCTTCACTGAGGACACCTTCCCTCCTCCTTTATGGTAAGCTTGTTAATCTACCCATATGTGTGATGCACAGAGGCCACAATGAAGAAAAGCAGGTTGCTTACCTGTAACTGATGTTCTTCAAGTGGCCATCTGTGCAGCCACACAACCCACCCGCCGGCCCCTCTCGGTGTCGGTGAGTGGATACATCCATTGGTACTGATACATCTATCTGAAATTCCAAAAAAAAATTTTTTTTCCCCACGAGGGGATGCACATTTGGTTGCAAAGACTGAACAAAATGGTGGACGCTTTGCTCTTTATAGGCCACGGGGGGGGGGGGGGGGGGAGCGGAGCTTCCTGCCAAAAACCGTTAGCTGTCAATCTTCCGGCCAAAGGCACTGTTCAGGCGCAGCACCCATATGTGTGACTGCACAGATGGCCAATCGAAGAACAACAGTTACAGGTAAGCAACCTGCTTTTCTTTGGCTTGCAGGCATGTTCCACTTCCAGTGAGTAAGCTTGTGAATTTACCCATAGAAAGTTAGCATGGAAAGACAAGTTGCTTACCTGTAACTATTTCTTTGGGAAGTTCTCTGTGTTTTCACAGAACCCATCCCTCTTATCCGATGGCAGGTACTGCTTTGCTCCTCTGCAGGTGCAGAAGCCATATGTGTGATTGAACAGATCTTACTCTCAGAACTGCAGCTATAGGTAAACAACATGTCCTTACTTAAATGAAGCAAGGACACTACTATTATGTAACTTAGTGTACAAACGTCTTAAGCTCCATGTTGAAAGAAAGTTGGGATGTATGTGCTCTACATGTTGGGTTTGTAGGCTACATATCTCCAAATAATTCTTAATTTGACTTTGTTTTATAAGGAGAATGCAGCAGAAACATTATCATGTGGATGGACCACCGTGCAGCTGATCAAGTGGCACGCATCAATGGGACACAGCATGATGTCTTGCGCTTTGTTGGTGGTGCAGTATCTGTTGAGATGCAGCCGCCTAAGTTGCTATGGATGAAAGAAGTGAGTGCATTAAAAATGCAATTGAATTTTGGGTATCTGCCAAGCAATGTTGATTCTTCAAACCTGCAATGTTCGTTCAGTGGTGCTGAAACATGTTAAAAGCATTTGACCATTTGCATTGTAGGAAGAGGGAAGTTTTTAGTATTGTAACAGTAACTATGATGTTAATGTTGTAAACCCTTTGGAAAAATCTACTGAGCGTTTATGTTTTTATATTAGATATTTCTGAGGAGTTGGACCACTGATGTGCTTTGTGCAAGCCTTTGTTCTCAGTAGGGGAGCCTGATATCTTGTATATTTGGTTTTATGAAAATGAGAGCAAGCCTGCATAATTTGCTATCAACTGCAAATCTTATATTCAAGCACAAATGTGGCCTTAGGGCATAATAGAGTTAATGTTCAGTACAGGAAATTGGAGAGTGCTGTGACCAGCTCCTTGTCTAGTTATTTACATGTGCATTTTATCTATCTTGGAATTTACAACTAGGGTAATTTACTGTACTGGTGCTTTAGTAATACAAAGAGAGAAAGCAAATTCAGTGCTTGGCAGAAAAATTGCTTCCCTACCTTTGTGCAGTATTTCTACGATTTCTTCTCATTTGCTGTGCCATGGATGAGTAAGGTCTCTATGGTAATGCAGGTAGAAGAGCAGACAAAATTAGCATACTGTACCTTGTACACTTGTGGCTCCTAAGGAATGGAAGCCATGCCATTAAAGATACCAAAACAATTATGGAAATTGACATGAAACTGACAAGGCAGTTACAGTTTCCCATCCCAAGAAGAATACTGTAAAGTTGGGAAAGTATGTCTTGGGTTGGAAACAGAACCTCTTCCCTATAAGGAATGCAAAAAACATGGGGCTTTTGTCATAAAAGAATGAAAGAGAGACTGGCAGGGTCAAAACACAGAGAGAGGGAAAACAGTTTGTTCTGATTACATTATGTTGTTATATTATATTTATACCTTGCCTTTTATCTTTTTGCAAGGAACTCAAGGGCTTGATGTTATCCATGGGAGATGATTTTGTCAATAGGTATAGAACAAAAATCAGTTAATATTTCTTCATATAAGACTTGTGGGTTTTTGGTTTTTGTTTTTGTTTTTGCATCAGCTGTGATGTTAAGGCACCAACCACGAGGCCTGTCAGTTACTCTTAGCATGAAAGGTAAGAATAGACCTTATAAAAGTCACCTATTTGCTAAATGCAAGTGACAGACAGAAAAATGCTATCTCCATTATGACTTTCTTATGATGGCTTCAGTGGCTATAGCAGTTTTGTGCTGATGACAGTGCACCAGTTTGGATAGGCCTTTGACTGACTTATAGACACTCTTAGCATCCATTTGTTGGGTCTGCACATCAAGTAATACGATTAGTATACATGCTTAACTTAATATTGCATGTGTTGGATACTTAGTATGCACTTGTTAGGTACCTATCCAACAACTATCTGTGTCCAGCATGCCTACTATTTATAAATTTGCTGATAAGTAAGATAAATGCAGTTGTTTGATGGGTACCCAACAGATAGGTAACCTAAAGACCCCACTTTTGTGTTCTTCAATATCAAGAGGTGTTGGAGGATGCCCATAACTTGCCATGTTTTTAAGAGCAAATTAGATAGCCATTTGGTTGTAGTTTAGCTGAGGCAAGAACACTGAAGGACTTTTTGAGGTCATTTAATTTATACCTCCAAAGATATGAATCAGTCAGGATGACATTACATATGATGATGATGATGATGATGATGATAACAATAATTGGCAATGATCCTATTGTGCATTTTTTGTTTATATGAATATTCTAATTTTCCCTCTTATTTGAATGCCCAAAGAATTCCTGCATATGGTGGAGGGTCCCTACTAGCACTATTTTCTCTGACTACTTGGATTAGTGTACCAACCTTTCACCAAACCTCTACAATTGCCACCTGAGTAGATGTGTTTCATCTGTATGAAATAGCCCTTGAGCAGACAGAAGGCAGTCTGTTCCTAGAGTCACATTCTATTGCTCTCTCTTTAGTTTAAATTTTATGTGGCTCAGGTTGATATATAGTTTCTTAATACCAACTGTCAGATGAAAGGGAAAAATGTGTGTCACTTGAATTTTTTATAACCTGCACCGGTCTGGCTTCTACATTTGGTCTCAATGATGTTTTCTGTCTCTTAATGAAGGCCAAATGTAAATTACCTCCTGTCATCTTACAGCAGCTGGAGTCTCTTTTCTTGACTCGCACCGTAGAATAACAAGGTAGAGGACAGGGAAGGTCGGGGAAGCTAACTGGCAGAAGCAGATAGTGACAGATTCATGTTAATGGGGGTTAATTAGCATTGCTTGTGGACCCTGTCATGAAATATGAATATTCACTTAAGCTCCTGTTCCATACTTCAGTGGTCTTCTAATTATTTATAATAGTTTTAGGAAAGGTTGGGTTTCATGCTCACTCTTAAATGGGAGTTAGAAATATCAACAAATAGAGTTTGCCAACAAAAATGTTTAGTCTAGTAGTCCCAAGCAGACAAATGTGGCCACATACGGAAATAAGTGGGTGCGAAAATGTAAGATCTCCATGGCTTGCCAGGGTTGGAATCATGGATATGGAATAGTCAATGAGAAATTCTGTGACAATAGTCTGCCACCCAATGGTTGGGTAATAGGATCTGTTGGTATTACTTCCAGTCAGTACAAAACAGTATGTTTTGAGAGAAATGGGCAGGCTAGCATTCTTTCTGTTCTCCTAGTAGTTTAAAATAGTTCACATGTTGACATGTGTGTTTGCATAGCCTTTGGCTAAGATGCTGCTGCATTTTGTGGAAACCATGGCCTAGTATAATTTCTTATACTAGAATATTTTATGTACCACTTCTGGGTATATAAGGTGCTTTACAGTGCTTGTTGCATAACAACAGTGGAGGGCAGGACAAGGTTCCCCAAAGTAGAGCCTTTGGGGGTGCAAGGGATGAGTCTTGGTAAACAGGCAGAACAAGCTATGGTCAAGTGGGTCTGAGCCTTTAAGGATGATATGTTTTTCTTTCCATCTCAAAAAAAAAGCTGAATGGAAACAGTAGATTGTGATTATTAGGTTGCACATTCTGGATTGCTTAACATGGATTATTTTATCACTGCTGTGTAGTTATCCAGAGATGAACAACTTGTAGGCCAAAACATTTAGAAGGCTACACCTCCCACCATCACTCACTATTCGCTAGGCTGGCTAGGGTGGTGGCAGTTGTAGGCCAAAGCAAATCACAGGCCACAAGTTCTGCTTCCTTGAGTTAAACAAATAGTTGATATGCCACAGTGTTTGAGGAGATTCATATGGAAGGAAATTTACCAGTGCTTATGTACACAGATCCAAGCAGAGTGGATTTGATTTAAATCAAATCAGCTTAAATCATGTTTTAAATCACTAGTCGGCAAGACTAGATTTAAATCATGGTTTTCTACATAATTTGCATGCATGCCTGCCTTACCCATAGGGAGAGGAATATTCATTAAAATATACCCAAATTGGGTCTCTTTTACAGCTCGCTTACATTATAGGTTTTCTCCTCAAGTGGAAGAATAATATGATAAACCTCAAGCTATACATACGAAGATCCAAAGACATGTGGAATGTTCTGCTCAAAAGGTTTCATTTCCATTTTTACTACTTGCCCCTCCCTCCTCACATTTAGCTTCTTGTGCAGATCTATTCCACTCTCAGCAATCTTCTATTCATTGGAATTTGTGAATTCTCACTTAAGAGGTAAGGGTTTGATTCTGTGTACATAGATTTGCAAAGGAAGAGTAGGGTTAAAGACTTTTTCTCAAATCTGTATGTTTTACAATATTTTTGCTGTGAAGAAGAGGCATGTGATCTGTGCAGACACAAATCCAAAATTCTGAGAACTGTAAAACCAAGCATCTGTGATAATATCTTCTAGCCAGAAAAATTTCCCAATCATCATACAGAACCCTCTGGGAGAGCATGACACTGTGAGTTGATTAATGGAATCGCTTAAAAGGCTCTTGGGCCAAGTTGATGGAATATAAATCTAATAAATAAATAATTCATTTATGTAAAAAATTAAATATTGCATGAATATACAGCCTCTTGCTACATAATTAAAAATGAATCCTTATTTCATGATAAGCTTTGGAGTATAATTTTTTTTAGATATTTTTAGATAGATTTTTTTTAGATATTTTTTCCTCAAAAAGCATTTTATTAAAAAAACCTAATTTAAAGTTAAATAAAATTTGATTTTTTATTTTTTAAAAATTGATTTTATCTACCCTGGATCCAAGGGATCATAATTGCTGTATGTTAATAATTCAGAAGTCAAAGGACTTCTTTGTGCACAATACTGCACAGTTGATGGACTTACTTAACATATATTTGAAAATAAAACATTGCAATGTCTGTATTTTTGGGAGTTCCTGTTTTTGTTTTAAAGATGGAAAACTGAAATGGGAAAAGGAGAAGTTACTGAAGATAATGTAATGTATGAGCTGGAATGTGATTCCTATCTTTTCAGTTTACAGCCATGGTCTTTCCTTTTTACTACTTGCTCCTACTATTACACTACTTGTTCAGTGGTGTGATATGTATCAACTTATTAGGCTGCAGAAAGAATCTTAACCTTAAGAAATGTCTCCAGATACCTATGACTTTCAATATGTTGTTGTCAATTGGAGATGAGGCAGTGTGGAGTATCCAGATCTAGATCTGTTGTGTTTTGTTTTTGTTTCCAGGAATATTGATTTATCAGTTGTACGTTCAGTCATAGCTTAATATTTTCCTGAGGATAACGTGATAGTGTATTCCTGCCTTACCAATAAGCTTACTTTTATTGGAAGAAACTAAGTTGTACTTATGGTTTAACACATCTTACCAGAAGGTAGAATCTCAGTGCAGTTGTAGTTGCTGCCTTTGCTTGTTGTTATTGTTATGTGACACAATGCAGATTTTAAATAGTTACTTCAGAAAGGAAGAGTAAGCAAATCAAGAAAAG